CCAATTGTGTCACTGTTTCTCTGTGTCATGATAGATCTCAATTGAGCGGCGGCGGCCGGCCTAAGGGCCGGCATGCAATAGCGCTCGCTGCCGCATGGCTCCCCATGCACTGGGGGCCCACCCTCCGGGAGCCAGCAGGCAGGAAGCTAGCCAGCCGGAAGACTGACCAGGGGGGATTTGTGGTAATGAGATGAGGTCTGGGTCACTCAAGTCAGGTCTTGCTGATTAGGGCGATGAAATCCCCACTTAACCTCTGAAGCAGAACCTGCAGTTCAGTCCTCATTCCTATCCCCTTCCCACACCATGGAGTGAAGAAGTAACACAATGTCCAGCGCAGAACTCATTTATATAATGGTTGCTATACACACTAGTTGCTGTCCACAAATACTTCATGAATATTACTTGATTTCTATTTTTTGTTTTGTTTTTTGTTTTTGGTACCAGGAATCGAATTCAGGACCTTGCACTTGCCAGGCAGGCGCTTGTGCCACTGAGCTATATCCCTGGCCCAATAGAAATCACCAGCACAATTATCCTAGCTATTCTTTTTTTTTGGTACCGGGAATCAAACTCAGGACCTTGTGCTTGCCAGGCAGGCTCTTGTGCCACTGAGCTATCTCCCTTGCTTACTTGATCTCTGTAAGGATTTGATCTCTCTAAAATTCCTGTTGAGGAAATAGGCTGAGCAGCAGATCCCAAGGTTTGTCAGCTGATAAGTGGAGCTGGAGTTCAAAAGCAGTCATTCTGGCTCCCAAGTCTGTGTGCTCTAAACAAACAAACACGAAGCATCCAAAAATGTCCTGGCTACCTGGAATTCTCTGGCAAGTCTTTAGCTTTACCCCTCTCTGAGCCTAGGGAGTAGATACCTTTGGGGACTTCTCCTACTGTCTTACTTTTGTTATAGAGAAATTTGGGGGGAACCTTAGAGAAAGCTAGTGCAGGATAGCTATAGATGCCACTGATTAGTGGTGGAAGCTCTGTGTTGGGTACTGTTCTGAAGCCATGTGGATGGAGGCCCATCAGGAAGAGGTGCTATCAGTTAGATATGTGATTTATGTTACAGTATGTCTTGCATACTGTGAGGGCTCCTTAGTTTACTCTAAACTGGCCATTCATTGAGTGGAAGCTGGGTCAAACAGACCTAGTGGCTTCCTTATATTCACTCAATCATCTGGATGCAGGACAGGTCCCACCTCTACAGACTCTCAGTCTAGTGGCCTTCACCATGCTGTTCTTGGAGGCACTTCCTCTATCCTCTGTGCTGTTGTGGTTGAATAGCTGTTTAACCTCTCCTTACCCAAAATCATAAAGACAGGAAACATGTGTTATTTATTTTTGTTAATTCACACAGAGGCTAGCATATAGTAGGTGATGTATAAATATGGGTTTTAAAAGAAGAATGAATACATAAATTGACCCATGTGTATACATGTGTATTTTATAGGAAATGGATAAATTGTCTGTGGAAACAGTCATTAATTAGACATTTCCAGTATTTGTTATAATCTATAACAAGACTAAACTCCTCAAATAAACGTTAACAGTTGTCATTAGGGAAATCTCAGGAAACAAGTTGTTCCTGGGAAGAATATGAGTTGGGAAGAGATACTGTTTACTTTACTGTCAGGGATTTTAGCTGACCTGCCAAATTGTAGCCAGGAGCCTTACAGGCTTATCCCTTTACTATACTTTTCCAGCAGTTATTGAATTTCTAGCCACATCAGTGTGCGGGTGCTAACAACTATACTAAACAATTCAGGGAATTAATGAGAATGAAGCTTTATTTCTTGTGCATGTCACAGTCCAGTGTGGCTCAGCAGTGGGATGATGGTATGTGTGTCAAGAAGAGTTGTTCTGTGTACTCAGTCAGGAATCAGGGCTGCTTCTGTCTTCTTTTACCACCATTTCTAGCACAAGTCCGCCCAGCTTGCTTGAGGAAAGGGACAGGAGGATTGGGGAATTTTCATGAACCTTTTCTGGAAATGGTATAAAGTACTATCACATACATTCCACTAATCTAATGACAAAGAGATGGAACACATACACCATCTGTATAACCAGGGGGTTAGTGACCACATCACTTCGGTGCTCAAATATCATATACTGATTCTTTGGCCCTTTTTTTGTTCTACTGAATCAGATTTCTAGGGTGGCACCTAATAATCTGTATTTTACAAAGCTCTTTCTATACTTCGTATGCATGCTAAGGTTTCAGAAACCTTTATCTATAATTCAGTTTTCTAACTGGCTTACTTCAGTATATTGGTCTGTTCAGCTCTTGGGCTCCTCCACTAGGGTATGGAGAGGCTGAGTGCCGGACTGCTTGCTCCAAAATATAAACAGCCTCATCTTTTCTCTCTAGTGCTGCATAATATTTTGGAGATTTCATGATGAATTAGATGCAATTCCTGTCCTCAGCTGTTATAGCTTATTCTCATTTTCAATCTTTTATGTGTACTAAAATATTTTTGGTGGGCAGCAATCTAGTGTGCTATCTTCTCATGGTTTTTCTAATGCCCAGCACAACTCATAACATAAAGGAGACACTCAATAACTGTGTGACAATAGACATCCATTTTACGATTCCAAAGAGAAGAAGGTAGGTGCCTCTGGCTGGGGTGATGTGGGAAGGTTTTACGGTAGCACTGAATTTCATTCCTCAAGACTCTCTTTAGGCTAATAAAACAATACGGGAAAGATAAGAATCTAGAAGACATTATCATGGATCAAATATTAAACTAAAATGTAGTGTGGTTTGAACAAATAATGGGGGTAAAAAATCTTTTCTGAGGTTCCTTGGGCTGAGGATGAGGAGAACAGGGTGAGTGACCTCATCATTGCTCTCTCCATGCTGTCTGTTTCTCCCCAATTCAAAGATTACAGAACACCTTTAGTAGATGCCTTACTTTTATAACTAAAGCAGCATTAAAAAACTTAAAAAAAAATTCAGGCCAAGAAGCTCATGGGAGGTGTAGAGGCAAGAGGGTTAAAGGTGAGGTGGCTGGCACCTTATGTCCCTTTTCTTCAAGCAAGTGTCCTAGTTATTGGCTTCAGTTTTCTTATGCAGTTCTGAACTGACAGATTTCCAGGGTCAGCACAGACCTGTTGCCCCTTCTTGGTGACAAAGCTGGAAGACAAAGAGGAGAATGATTACAAAGTGAAGTGTCCTCTGCAATGGCGACAAGGAGCCCCATCCTCCCTGCCCCTCAACGTCCCCACTCAACACAGCCTGTTCTTTCCATTCTCTGCAGAAGGCAGCTCAGGGCCAGTCTCCTCTCAGAGACCCTCTCTCAGCCTGTGGGACACCCTAGTGACCTATGGGTGTGTCCGGGGGCAGCTATCTGTCTGCTCTCTCCTTCCTGCCCCCACTTCCTTCTTCTTCACTACAAATGTGTTATCTCTGATGCCCTGCAGGCTTCTAGTAAGGACACAATCAAGAGTGGGACTTTTGGGGACACCTGTAGAGCAGTTTCTCCCATCAAGAGCATGCAGGCTCCCTGCAACCCATGGTGGGTGAGTTTGGTACTTACATGACTCCTGGCTGGGGGCACTCACCGCTTGTCTCAAAATAGTCTTCCATAAGCTTACACCGGATATTTCGTGATATGTAGGAGAAGCAGCAATCTGGAGCATTGGCATGGGCTATGGGTAGGGAAAGGTCCAGTGAGAGGTCAAGGCTTTCCCTCAACAGTCCAGTGGTGGGTACCATGAAGGGTACTATGGAGAAGGCCCAGGACTCAGAGGGGATGCTTGCTCCTCCTTGGCCAGCACTTGCTGCCATCTCCTTGATTCAGACCCTTGCCAGCGTTGAGAGGTGTGCCTCAGGGCACCCGGGATGGGGCCCACCAGTACCAGAAGCATTTCTTCAGGGGGTGAAGACATATGCAGATATTTGTAGGTGTTAGAGAGCACCCTCTGCTCCAAGCGGGCTGACTCTCAGGTCAGCCAGGTGGGAATAGAGAAGGTGTCTTTTGGAGGAGATACCAATCTCCTCTCCTGGTCTTCCCTGGAGATTTGAACCACCCTTAGGATGCTTTTGTTCTCCTTTGTCCTATGAACAGGTAGATGAAGCCATAAATTGATCTGCCCCCATGCTGCATTTAAGTATATTCTGCAATGGGATACTTACCTTTGTGAAATATTAGAGGTTTATGTAGAACCTCTGTTTTCTGTAGTTTTCTTATCTCTGTATCTGCAAGAAACAGGATGAGAGCAATTGTTAGGAGGCATTGTCTCAGCATCTCCACTCACCCTTCCATGGGAGAGACTCTGATGTTGGACCATACCACTTGTCTGGGTCTTAGGCATCCTCTATTAGTGCCCTAAGATGTTTCAGGGACTGTTAAGATTTAAATGGGAAATGTTCCCCAAAGATTCCTGTATTGAGGGCTTGGATCACAATGGCATTAGCTCCATCAGTCAGTTGGTGAGTTCAGAGCTGAATGGGCTATTAGGAGGTGGCCCCAGGGGAGGAAGCAGTGGCTGGGAGCAGACTTTGAAGGGTTCATCCTGCCTCAGGCCCTTTGTCTTTTTCTGGCTCCTTCCCTCTGTTTCCTGACTGCTATGAGGTGGGCTTTCCTCTGCCGTGCCCTTCTGCCCTCTGCCACAGTGTTTCTGTCTTGGGGTCAGCTGACCATGGACTAAAACCAGGAGCCAAAATAAACCTTTTCTCCTTTAAGTCGTGTATGTCAGTTGTTTTGTCTCAGCAACAGAAAGCTGACCTTTTGAAAATGTGTGGTCCATAAAAGCATTACACTGACTCTCAAGAACTAAAAGTTATCCAACATGTAAGTTAAACAAATGTCTGTGTAATGTGACACAGACTACAGTCCTTTCCACCAGGCATTTCTGGAATCTACAGGACTCTGGAAACAGCAAGTTTTTCATTAACTCATTTGATGGCAACATGTCCCTTGAAGGGAAGTGAAGGTACTTACAGTCTTTATTTCTCTAACAGTGTAAATATCTGTATGTGTTTGGTTAAAGTACATTCCCCAGATACTACCAGGGATGTTAAAGTAATATCCAGGTATGTATTATCTTTCAAAACCAGAAAAATTCCAAAATACATTTAACCCTGGAGTTTGTAGAGAAAAGATTGTGGATCTGCATTATGCTAACTAGGCAAACACGGTATAGCGCAGGCTGGCCTTGAACGCTTGGAGATCCTCTTGCCTCAGCCTCCCAAGTGCTGGGATTACAGAAATGCACCACTGCACAGACCTTAGCTTTTTACATAGTTCTGGATGAATTGTATTTAATAAGGCACATGGGTACTTAACATGTTTGATATGTTGTAGATAGGCTTGTCAAAAAAGAAACAAAAATGAAAAAATCTGAAACAGCTTTGTTTTCTATAACCACTTCTTAACTAATTCATATCCTAATTTCTCCACTTACTAGCTATGTCATATTAAGCAAGTTGCTATTTCCATTCCTCACTTTTCTCACTTGTAAAATGAAAATAGTAGCATGTAAAACTATATAAAATTGCTAATGTCCTATTTTGTTTTCCTTCAAGAATGGCAGATTTACATTTGTTCAACCCAATATGTACCTTGCAGGGTTTTTAGGGAATCAACATGTTCATGTCTACAACATAGTTAGAAAATTGGCTGCCTAGTAAATAGAAAACACTAGATAATTATTTAAGTAGCAAGTTAAAATGATTATGTGACCATCAATCAATATATAATGTATTTCTTAAGGTAAAGAATTGGAAGTGTTAGATGATTATCAGTCACGTTTTAAAATTTTTTCCTGTATATTATGATGTTTTGACATTTTAAAGGTACTGACAGCTGGGGAGATAATGCCTCTCCCAGAGTTAGCCAGTTCTTAGAGAGAGCAAAAGGTTCAAACCAACTTATGCTGAACACTTTGGTCCAATCACCCCTTTATCTAACCCTCAAGCACCATCCCAATGTTTTCCCTGCTCCAAGTCATCCCAGAGCCATGTATCAGCTTGAGACAATCCTACACTCAAAGCCTGCTGGACATACTTAAACAAACCCTTCCTAAACTGAATACCATGCTTTACCCTGACTCTCAGAATTCCAAATAAAGGCTCTGGCATAAGTGTTCCATCTTGTTTATTCTTGGAACATGTAAGTAATGAGTTTTTTTTTCCCCAAGTGGCATTGATCTCTCTGTGTTGAGACTTAGTCACCTCCATAAATTAAAATTTCAAATTTTTGAATAAGACAGTGACCTTGGGTGAGTTACTTGCCTGGCTAGTCTCACTTCCTCTCAAAATGATAGTTTTACACTGCATGATATACAATAGTTCTGACATCATAGAATTCTATACCTCTTTCTGTGAACTTACAATAATTTTTGATTTTGGTAGTGAGGATGGAAGCCAGAGCCCTTGCACTTAACTATATGCCCCCTCCCTGCTTTTAAAAAAGTCTTTTATTTTGAGACAGATCTTGTCTGTCTCAAAATAGGTTGCTAAGTTGCCTAGGCTGGGTTTTAACTTGAAGTCCCCCTGCCTCATCCTTCCAGAATGTTGGGATTACAGGCATATGCCACTGTGCCTGGTTTTTTTGATCTAGCTAAATTGTCAGCTAAGATAAGGTAGCAAGTAATTCTGGCCATTAACAAAGAGATAATTGTTTCCCCAAATAGGGCCAGTCATACGTGTACAGTTTTTCTCAGGGAACAAAGCCTGCGGACTAAGGCAGGTGAGTACCTTGTCGCTGCTCTCAAGTTCTATACCCATATCTGGGGTGGAGAGCAGTTGTGGGGTACAGTGATGTCCCTCTGTGTCTCCTTTCCTGGCTGTGAATTTCTGTGGCCCTG